GGTGATGGCGGTGGGCTTGGAGTTGCACCAGGTCCAATGGCACAGACTGGGAGGTGTGCTGGGCCTGGCAGTGGAGGCTATAGCTGGGATGGCCCACGGAACTGCTGCAGCAGGCCCAGTGGTGGTAGTGATGGGTGTCAAGGGTCTGCACTGGGCCTGGGGGGGGGGGGGAGCCAGTTTGGTGTAGGGGTTAAGTGTGCGGACTCTAATCTGGGAGAACCGGGTTTGATTCCCCACTCCTCCACATGCACCTGCTGGATGACCTTGGGCAAGCCATAGTTCTGATAAAAGCTGTTCTTGAAAAGGGCAGTTTCTGTCAGAGCTCTCTCAGCCCCACCTACCTCACAGGGTGTCTGTTGTGGGGAGGGGAAGGGATGTAAGCCGTTCTGAGACTCTAAGAGAAGGGTGGGATATAAATCCAATCTCTTCTTCTTCTTCAAGATGGGAAGGGATCCCCCACGAGTGTCACAGCTCCCCTCTTGTGTATGTATAATACCCCAATGCTATGTTGCTATTCATGTGTTTCAACAGCAGAGAAAAATGATGGAATGATGTCAACAGAAGCTGTGACTACTCCGTGAGCCACTCAAGGAGACCTGGTACACCCAAATGTAGTCAGTGGGCTGCTTGCTGATTAACGAGGCCTGGTACTATCATGTGCTCAGCTGATCTGCAGCGCCCTGTTATTCCACCAAAGGATATTTCCCCAAGATTTCTAAGCTTTAGTTAGATCACATGATCTCAAAGTTCCCTAATCTTTGGGTTCCCTGTGACTGGTCCCCATTCCTTTGCTTCTATTATTACAGAACCTCAGTAGCCCTTATTTTATTTTACAGTTGCTGTTTGCATGTTTATTCATTTTAAAACATTTTTATGCTGCCTTTTCATCCAACTCCGGTCCCCAAGGTGGTGAACATAACCCCCCCCCATAAATACGTTAAAACGAGACATTAAAAACATTTAAAATACAAATATGTATAAAATGTTTAAAAGGATAAAACATAATGTAAACACCTGAAAGCACACAAATGGAGTAGAGCTAATAAGAGTTAGTGAGGCAATGCCAGACAGTCTTCATTTGCTGACCCAAGACAATGATAGAAGGAGACAGACTAATTTCCAGTGTTCCAATGTCATGCCCCTAGAAGGTTCTTGGGTTGCCACCCATCTGGCCTCAGATGGTGGGTGGGGGGCACCCAAAGCAGTGCCTCTGAAGATAACCAGAGTAGTTGAGGAGACTGATAAAGGAGTAGGCAGTCCTTCAGGTTCGCTGGCCCAATTCGGTTTACGCTTTAAAGATCAATACCAGCACCTTGAATTGGGTCTGGAAACAAATCAGGAGCCAGTGTACAGGGGGAAAGACTGGAGTGATAGGGTCCCTATGACCCACTCTAGTCAACAGTCTGGCAGTAGCATTCTGTACTAACTAGGTTCAGCCCTGTCTTCAAGGGTAATCCCACACAGAGCCCAATGCAGTGATCTAATCTAAATGTTACCGGGTAACATTTAGATTAGATCACGGCAATGGGCTCTACATGCCTCCTAGTCCCAACCCCCAGAGACAGTCCAGAAGGATACCATGATTGATGGTACTGAAAGCCAATGAGAGGTCCAGGGAAGTTAGCAGAGTCACACTCCCCTGTCCATCTCTCAGCATCAGGGTAACGGAGGCCATTTCAGTCCCATTTTCTTTGTGGCCATCACAGCTTTCAAATGAGCTCCAGCCTGTGCCTTGTATGTGCATAGGTCAACTGTAGTAGGTGTCCCTGAAAAGTTTTTGAGGTGAGATGACAGCAGTGAAACACAGTCATCTACAAACACGGTTGAGTTTTTATGTACACCCACAGGTCTCATAAATTTACAGAAAAAAATTGAAAGAAATTTCTAAAAAGTACCTGATGAACTGAGTATGCCCCTTGCTCTACGGGAGGCATGGACTATGAGAGAAGCTGAATGTCAAATAAAGGGGAAAGGAGAGAAAGAAAACAGATATTGAGGACTGCTTATTCATTTGAGAAAAGAAGTAGCTATAGAACAGTACCTTGGAGATGGAAATTTGGGTCAAGGAGAAAAACTGCCAGTCATCCTTGCCTGTCAGTGATTCCTCGTGAGCTTCTAGTATATCATAGTGGCCATAGACAGTCCTTTTGGTCTACCTAGGTGTGCTTCTACATGCAAGCACTGTGGACTGCAGAGTATGACCCAATAACAGACGGAGGTTAAATGAGTCATGGCTAAAGAGATATATTAGACGGTTAAATGAGTCATGGCTAAAGAGATATAAGCCTTCAATATGGTATAAGCACCCTCTAGAGAAGCCAGTGTTGTTACATATCCACTTTAGAATGAAAAAAGGATGATGTTAAATTTATTGTGATTAATTTCTTATGTTTCAGGATTGAACTCTGGTGTTCAACATAACTCCTGGCTCTAAGCCCTGGCCTTCTGGTTTCTAGTTGCTCCACAGTTACTCTTTTGTCAGAGAAACAGTAGAAGAGGAGGAGGAGGAGGAGAAGAAGAAGAGTTTGGATTTATATCCTGCCCTTCACTACCCAAGGGAGTCTCAGAGCGGCTTACAATCCCTTTCCCTTCCCCTCCCCACAACAGACACCCTGTGAGGTAGGCCGGTTGAGTAGGTGGGGCTGAGAGAGCTCTGACAGAAACTGCCCTTTTCAAGGACAGCTCTTATCAGAACTACGGCTTGCCCAAGGTCACCCAGCAGGTGCAAGTGGAGGAGTGGGGAATCAAACCCGGTTCTCCCAGATTAGAGTCTGCGCACTTAACCACTGCACCAAACAGTACCACACCTTAAGCGTGGAAAGGCATCTTCTTTGGGGCTAAGGTGCCAGGCCATGCTGGGGGAAGTCTGGCTCGTGGGCCAGGCAAGGAGTGAGACTGGGTGCACATGCCCCACCATGACTACTAGTCGCCTGACAGCGCAGACACAAGGTCATCTGTTCGTCCTCCTTCCGGGCTGGGCACCAGAGCAAAGCCTCTGAGCATCTACGGAGTGCTTCCTCCTGCCCCGCTCGGGGCGGAGCTTCCAGGCCGCGCTGCCTGCAGAGGGAGCAAAGCCGCTTCCTGTAAGGCCGGGCAGAGGGGCGCAAGCCGTCCTCGCGCCCTGCACGCCCGCCGCCCTCAGCCTCTCCCTCCTGGCCGGCCGCGGAGGCCTTGGAGCGGCCGCTGGGCTCCCGCAAGGGGGCAGGCGGGGCGCGGTGCCCGGGGCTGCTGCGGGGAGGACTGGAGGGAAGGCGGCAGCCGCGTGGCCCGCCCGGCGTTGCAGGAGGAGGCGGACGACTGAGGCTGCAGTGCCGGGCCGTAGCCATAGGAACCGGCGCCGCGCCAAACCAAGCCGGATCCTTCCTCCCGAGCGAAGAGGCGGGCGGGGACGGCGCAGTCCGGAGCCACGCAGTGGGGCTGCCGGCTCTGTCCCCCCGTCGCCGCCGCCGCCGCCATGCAGTGGGCGCTGCTGCGGGAGCCGCTGGGCCAGTAGGAAGAGGCGCGGCAGCCGGAGGAGCGGCTCGCTCGGAGCCTGCAGCTGTCGGGGGGGGGGGGCGGGCCGGGGCCGGGGGAAG